GATGCCAGAAGTCAGGATAAATGAAAATAACCAACCGATGTCAGGAATCAACAGGAGAACACTGGAACACAAAACAGCAGTACTTGAACCATAGTCAATGAACTGACACTGCCCTCAGTAAGAGGCAGTGTCTTATACCTGGCTAATTGGGCCACCAGCTTCAGGTGTGCTGAGAATATTGGAGCAGCCACAGATAACGTCCATCCCCCAGTGCTGGATACAAGGCAAGATCGGACTATAGGCTATATTTGTTTTGTAAGGTGGCTCAGAGGAGAAACAACAGGCCCAGGACTGTAAAGTAACCAAGTTCAAATCCCTTGTTGGGCACTTCTGGGGTGACCTTGTCTGGATGTCAGTGTGAGAACCGTGACAATGTGGGAGTAACAGTGGTGTCTAGGTACTACCGTACTGTATGTCTTTCTGTGTTAATGTTTACATTATGCCCTGTTTCTACCCCTGTCTGAGGGCTATGGCAGAGTAGTGGCCCCCCCAGATATATTTTGCTTTTTAATAAAAGGTGATGCCGATAGGAAAATGTGCCCTTTAATAAAAATAAAAAAATCTAAATGATAGAGAAAAATCAATTAATTAAATATGCAGCATAGCAAAATCATCAATATATCTAATATATATTACATGAAAAACAAAAATATATTCATTCAGAGTGGAAGCCTTCATAATCTATTAAGCAAATATGCTTTTGTGTTAATCTCTGGCCTAAAAATCATTATGTAACATTTTGGAAAAAATATACAGCCTAAGAGTCCAGCATTTGAAGCCAATATGGCAAAAACCTCCACAGCCACCATGTATTTCCCTTTGGTGCTCAGATAAGCTGGGATCATCGCAATCCAAACACTGCAGAACACCAGCATGCTGAAAGTGATGTACTTGGCCTCATTAAAGGTATATGGTAATGTCCTGGCTAAATAAGCTGCAATAAAACTAACAGCTGCCAAAATCCCCAGGTAACCCAGGACAGAGTAAAATGCAATAACTGAGCCTTCGTTACACTGAATGATGATCGTTCCTATATGAGAATAAGTGTCTGTCTCCTGAAAGGGGGCAGAAATAGTCAACCAAATTATACTAATTATAACTTGAACAGAGGAGAAGAACACGACTATAGTATTGGACAGTTTGACTCCAATCCACTTTTTCCACACACTGTTTGGTTTGGTTGCTTTGAAAGCAATATAAACCATGCTTGTTTTGGCCAATACAGTTGACACGGCTACTGAGAAGATGATTGCAAAAGATATTTGACGGAGAATGCAGGTTATATCCACAGGATGTCCAAGGAATAAAAACACACAGAGATAGCTCAACATGATGGAGACAAGGAGAATTAAGCTGAGGTTCCTGTTATTGGCTTTGGCAATTGGTGTTTCCCAAAATGAAATAAAAATAAATATTATTAATATGGTTAACAAGCAAAACAGAACAGAGATTGATGCCAATATTGCAGTCAACACATCTTCCGTGTAGGAGGGAAACTCCACTAATTTGGGAATGCATCGATCTTGCTTCATGTTTGGCCATTCATACTCTGTGCATTTTATGCAGTTTTCACTATCTGAAACCAAGAGACACAGATACATTTATAATAATATAATAATCACAGTAAATATATATATAAATAATCTGATGGCCTGCACTCCAGTAAATTTATTGAATAAGGCCTGGTGCTTGTCCGCATAAATATCTGATCTCTCTCCGCCCACCTTGACTCGTGTTTCTGACTGCTTCTCTGCTATTTCCAACTGGATGGCTGCCCACTTCCTTAAACTCAACCTGTCCAAAACAGAACTTCTAGTTTTTCCTCCCTCAAGTGCTGCTACTCCTGTGTCTGTCTCCATCCAAGTCAACGGCGCTACTATCACCTCTACCTCCCAGGCTTGCTGCCTAGGGGTTCTTTTTGATTCTGATCTCTCTTTTACTCCCCATGTTCAATCAATAGCCAAATCCTGTCGCTTCCAACTCAAGAACATAGCGCGCATCCGCCCATATCTAACACCGGACGCGGCTAAGGTACTGGTTCATGCTGTTGTTCTCTCTCGCCTTGACTATTGCAATCCCCTTCTCACTGGTCTTACATGTTCCCAGCTTGCACCGCTGCAATCTATAATGAATGCGGCTGCGAGGCTTATTTTCCTGTCCGGTCGCACCTCCCACGCCTCCACGCTCTGTCAGTCCCTGCATTGGCTTCCAGTTAGATATAGGGCCCAATTCAAAATTCTGGCGCTTGCTTACAAATCCCTACATAATGCTGCTCCAACATACCTATCCTCCCTCATACACAAGTATGTCCCGTCGAGACCCCTGCGCTCAGCCCAAGACCTACGCCTATCCTCTGCCCGGATCCCCACCTCTGATGCTCGCCTTCAAAACTTCTCCAGGGCTGCACCTATTCTGTGGAACTCCCTTCCCTCCTCAATCAGACTTTCACCCAGCCTCCATTCCTTCAAAAAAAATCTTTGAAAACTCACTTCTTCATTAAAGTGTATCAATTAAACTGTCAGCAGGTTTCTCACCCCCCACCCCATGACTCCGTCCCTGCACCTGCCAAAAATGAACTACCAAGCACTCAATAAACCCTTCTGTAACAAACTATTTAATTCCCCTACTTTAACCCTTTGTGTCACTATACCCCACTCCCTCTAGCATGTAAGCTCGTTGAGCAGGGTCCTCAACCCCCTCTGTTCCTGTACGTCAGTGTCTGTTAGTCCACCCATTGTACAGCGCTACGGAATTTGTTGGCGCTATATAAATAATAATAATAATAAATATATACAGGCTTGAAATGATAGCACTCCAAGGACTTATTAGTGGTGAAAAAGATACAACTTGTGTATATATATATATATATATATATATATATGTATTAAGGCAGTTTTGCCTGTATTTGTGGGAGGGGCTTAAAT